CATGCACCAGTCCGCACTTTATCATTTCTATCTCGGTCACCACACAATACCTTTTAACATGCACAGACGCGCACGCTGCACATAATACTCGAAAGAGGGTGATGCAGAATATATAGATAGATAGATAGATAATGCAAAGCATATCATACATTTAGAATGTCAAAGAAGTAAGACAATATTTGGAGTGACATTCAAACATTTAGTTCTATACAAGTACATGTTTAGCATTAAAAGACGACAATGTAAATTACATAGCATAAATCACAAAGTTTTCTTACCATCATTAGGCAATCAAATTCCTGGTTTAAAGTCATACCAGGCAAACCATTAATTTGGTATCAAACGATTAACAACAAATTGTGAATATATTATATTTAGCTTTAAATTTCTATATGCGTCATTGAGTTTTACTGTTTTTGTGGACTTGTCTTTCCAATGAAAAGTCTGCATTAATATGTATTGAGTTAGTGAAAGCCATCATTAATATACTTGACAATTATCCCTTGTCATAAAAAAAATACCACAATTTTGAAATCTAGCTTATTTAATTACTGACATGTGTTTAAGAAAATATCCATGTATGTACATTTCTAAATACTGTGAAACTTCTTAAAAATCTCTGCATTGAAGTTGAAATTAAAAAAATATACTTAAGGCCAAAAAAAAAATGGGCTGTTAAGGGTTGAATGGGCAAAAAAAACAAGGGTAGGTCGATATTTTTTGTTGTGTATATTTTTTGTGTGTTCCGTGTGGTCATGTGATTATGACCCTACTATTGTATGTAAAACAAAGAATTATAAAAACAGGGTTCATTTGAAGGCAAATTGTGCTCCATATGCTGACATTTAGCTCCAACACGGAGCTGGAAGCCATTTTGAAAGGCAAGGAACCTTCTAAAATTCGAAAATCTGCATTTTTTCATCAAAAAGTTTTGGGTCGGGGGTAAAAAGCTAGGGTCGGTCGGGAACCCTAAACAGACATATATTTTTTTGGCCTGAGAATCATAGAGATGGAACCTGACATGAAAATCTTTGAAATATTTTTTATAAAATGTGCTTTCCTTTTATTCATTACAAATTTTGCAGTCCAGGTATAGCTTGGTTAAATTTGAAGTCTCACAGTAGTACAGATATCATGTATTATTTTATACTTGTGTTTCACATTTTTAGTTCATTTAGCATGATAGTCAGTAAAGTTATATAACAAGCTTATAATTATTTATAAATTTTGTATCCCCCCTAATTACACATGTGTGTTTGACTGTTTGTATGTACACATACATGCATGGACATATCCATGATGATGAGTGTTTCTGGGAAGGAAGTGTCATATTGTACGTGTATGTACTTGAGTCTATGTCATGTTATATATCCATTGTGGTTATGATGGAGGTGACAAGTCCAGTCCAAAGTCCCTGTCAGGGGGTGAATAATTCATATTTAATGCAAATGAAACACAGTTTTGCATATTCAAATGGTTTTAATTAATACACATTTAAACATGTTTTGACTTTAAACATGTCTTATTCAATAAAGAAAGTGTTTGGGAGGAACATTTCTGTCAACAATATTCATCACATACTAATAAATATCTCTAGCTCTGACTACATATATACACATGTAAACAAGAATGTAAATGATGCTGAATAGAATTGTCATTTAAAATGATGTTTATGGTAGAGATCACAAAAGGATTGTGGATTTATTGCTGTCATTATAATGGTTATATATTTAATATATATATTCATACAAAGATGTAACAGCTCTCTTTATTTCTCTTTGTAGTCTAGCCGTTCATTACCTTATAAACATGGAGTGTATTCTTAAAAAGTTGCAAACATATTGACTCAAAAGTCTTATTTATACATATAAGACATCGAAAAATTTATAAATATTAGACATGCAATAAAAATATTCAATTAATTTTTTAAATCCCAGTAATTTCAATTTGAAAAGATATAAACTTTTTACGCTCATCAGTCTTTGATCAACATTATCAGCTGTTTTTATAATTGTGTTGTAAAGTGTACCATTTATTTTGTTGATAAGTTGGGATTTAGTTTGACTCAATTTAATATATGGTAATTTAATACTGTATTAGTGTAATTTAAATTGCAGATTTACTTGCAGATATTTTGTTGGATTGCATATTAGGAATCTGACAACACTAATTACCACTCGGTTCTTCAGTATCATCTCTACCATCATGTCTTTTAAATGAATTGATCAGATTAATGTAGGCCTACCAAGGTATACATATTTCATGTACTGTTATTACAGTGTATACTGACTGTGTATGTTTATCATGTGGAAACTTGTAAGGGTTTTATCAGAATTCAGTTCATCTATATGCTTATGAAGTGATTAGTGGATTAATTGAACAATTGGCAGGTCCAAGTTTTGTTAACCGATATATGTACCTGGTTATAGATTCTTTTAATTAATGAAGGTATAGACAACAAGTTGAACAAGTCTGTAGGAACTCACTGTGTATACATTCTGTGATACTAACCGACTTGTGTGTTCTGTATGATATCAATAATTAATACACTGGATGTTAGATTAGGGAATATAGTCTCCAATTAGTAATCTCACTATGGTATCAAGTGTGTTAGGAGGAACCAATCACTGCTAATATGTACACACTTTAGGTTAATTGCAAATCCCTGTCAGACAATTTGTACTTGTAAGTATATGTCACCTGTCACTTGTCTGGCAAGTAGATGTTAGCATGCAACAGCATTTTATGTTGATGCATTTAAAGTAAAAAGTGTAAGTTGTGAAAAAAATGTAATTGAAAAAAATAAGAGCATGTACCATGAAAACCCCCCAAAAAAACAGACGATAGTCGAACAAAACCTAGAAAGGAATATAAATAGAAGAATTATCTGTCAGAATATACATGGTTCAGTGTATGGTCTTAGAACACACTACATTCCCTTTCCTTACAAGTAAAAAACAACATGAACATATTAATAAGGTACTGGGCTGCATACAAAGAATTAATGACTTAAACAGATAATTCTTGAGTTGTAAAACAACATAAAGCAGCTCATAGATATTTGTTGTTGACAGCTGGTGTTAAAGTAAACAATGATAAACAATTAGTCATAAACATTACAGAGTAAACAGTTTTAACATCACTGAAAATGTTGACATATGTCATTGAAAGCTAATTAACTGCTTGTTTGTTCAGGGACAGACAAGAAAAAAGGAAATTGTAAAGCTTAGGATATATAATTATATGATTGATTGTGGTTAGGGTATAATATAGGTATTGATAGACTTTTTGACATGTATACAGTATCACATCTAAGGTACCTGTTAGTTAATATCCTTTCAAATTCTGAAAAGTAGTGTCATTCTATGTAAAAGTAATGAATTTTCAAAATTTCTACGGAGTCAAATTGAAAAAGAAGTGAGTTTTTGATTCATGGCTTGCATGTAGGTACATGTATTTAATGATACTATTCAAAATGTCCAGATGCATACAATATGTTTTGAACGTACATTATACAGGTTAAATGCAATTTGATATTAAATCTGAACCAATTATAATTAAACATGTATTTACCAGGTACATGTAAATATATTGATTACAAATTCTTGCTTCCTTTAATTTGTGTTTCTTAGATCAAATTGATATGGTAATGCAGATTTTGTTTAATTATTTTTAAAGATTATTGAATTTCTAGATACCTGTAAATAGGAACAGCATGCATTTTTATATAAAAAATATACATTTGAGAATTTATCAATTATTGAAATTTATTCTTGTATTTTAATTAATGATTATTATCTATCAATAAATGTTCGAACAAGTCAACAATTTCTAAAATTTATACACAGCAGTTCTGAATCAAATAGACACAACATAATTTGAACCATTTTGAATACATTTGCATCTTTTTCAGTATTGTATTATATTCATTCTGGTATATGTAACGGTATACATAAATTTAAACGTCTGTTTGCACAATTTGGTTAAACATTTCAGACATCTAAACTACATAATGTATACAATAATTACTGTAAAAACTTAAACATTTTTTTTTGAGAATTGCCAGAATTTAAAGTGGATTGTTTCCCTTGAATCAAGATCCAAAAGAATTATTAACAGACAGATTTATATACTAGACTGTATTACATACATTTAAAACAAACAGGGATAGCAACTAACACCAGTCCACAGAGACTATTGGATTATCTCTGGTCTAACTATAGTCCTGTGGACTTGTAAAAGGGTTGTTAAAGCAATATAATTGGACTAATTGATTATAAAATCAGATTATTCCTTTTCAATTAAATTAAAAAATACAGAAATATTGCATGTTTACTGTCAAAATTTCCAAGGATTTCAACATATTTTTATTGCAATAGGAAGATATGCAGGGAATATATATTGATGTTATAGTGGGACATTTTGGACTGGTTAGTATATTGTAGTTACAGTAACATAGGACTTGAAATAATCTGTTCAACTGGCCATGTTAACTAAATTACTATCAACATATTTCAACAGTTACTTAAATATGTGCCAGTCTGCTTCCTGAGTATTAATGACTATTTATGTAGATACGTTCAGTACATGTATAAGTGATTAAGTACTTGTTTCCCCATGATATTTAACATGAATGGATACAGATAATATCGATGACACATAGCAGTGTGATTTGTTGCAATTTTTGTACATGTTATCAAATGAAAAATACTTTGTTGTACGCATGCTTTCAACATATTTTCACTGCACACATATATATATTAACATAGGTTTCAGCATTGACACTGAGTGTATTGAGGTGTTTCAATCTACATTTTTTCTCTTTCTTTTTTTATTTTCAACATGAAGGATTTAAAACAAAACTTGTCCTTGTCTGAAAGCATCTACAATGGAATGTCATACTTGCCAACTTTTTGAAATTTCCATGCGGGAGATAACACTTGCTTAGAATTAAATACATAAACAAAATGTGTGTATGTATACTCTAGGGGAAAAATAACATGTTTCAGTGGCATAGTTTGAGCTGTTCCTTCAGGTGAAATCATCAGATCTTAGAAAATAGGAATAGTTTAGCAAATTCACTGGCTGAAAATGTTCAATTTTAGGGTCCAAAGTCGGGATTTCACCTCCAAACGGAGAGTTTTCAAGTATGAAATGTAAGGGGAAAAAAAGATGTTTTTGATAGAAGCAAATTAAATTTCCCTTCCCCAACTATAAGTGTTGTTATTCAGAATAATTATAGGCAGGAAAAACCCTGTACACTTTCTTCCTTCAAGAATTTTTCTCAGCAAAGAGTGACTCTTGATATCTGCCATCATGTATATTTAAGTATGTAACTGCAGTATATACCAGGAACTCTTAGTCTTTAACCTGTTTAGCAAAGACCTATAATTATAACTCTTAGGAACCCAGTGTCAAGCATTGGTACTGTCTGGAATGACTTAATTCTTATTTGATTGTTTTTTTTTCATTATTTGCCCGATACATGTGCCTTTGTTTACACTGTTTTGCAGGCCTATTAAGTTACATATATTGACACCTTAGTGGCCGGCTAGTGTAGATTGACTTAGTTTTGGGTAATAGAAGGTGCTGACAATAGTGCCAGGTGCTACACTGTTAAAGTGCCATGTAAGGTGTATCAATAATGATAAGTTATGTGTGGCTACATTTTATTGTCCAATGAATAATAGATACACTCTGTAGTGGCTACATATACATGTATAAAGGGTTCCAGGCCAATAAGCACAGAAAAATAGGATTAGGGTAGGTCTGTCTTTATCATAAATATGTAGCAGAGTAACAGAAAGGCCCTGTTTACCCAAGGATCAGCTTGTGTATGTAAGTAAAGCGCTTTCACTCTACCAATACTTTGTATATTGGATCTTTATCAAAATAAATTAACAAGTAATTATATTGTAATGCTTGGAAAAGACTTCGGTGGATTATGATTTAAAGGTATTAAATTTAATTTTAAATTTCGATGAAAGTGTATAATTGATTTTCATTTTCAGGTAAATTCTTAAGCTTAGTTTAAAGCATGTGGATCAACAGGAAAAGATAAGATATGAAGGGAATTTGGAACTGAGATTGTGTCGAAGAGACAGGTGACATTTGTGCTGCAGCAGGGAAGCTCCATCTGTGCAACCTGCAGCCATGTCATGGAAAGGGGCGACCCCTAGCACACAGTTTGGCGCAAACAATAACACGGGGACAGGCAGCAATGTCCCAGGTGAGTACTTGTTCACCAGGTAGATAAAAAGTTGTCAGCTAGAGTATTGTCCCGACCATCTTTAATGTCACACCAATACACCTGGGGCGGCAGGTAGAATGTCAAACAATGGTTTTCTATATAAACGCATTGAGTGTCTCTACCGATACTAAGTGATAGCAGAACCCCTTCACTAGGTATGTCAATAAACATACTACACTTGTACAATAGACTCACAATCAGTATCACAAAAGAAAACAAACAAATGCAAGTGTATTGTTATCTGTAAGTTATGGCCATTGATGACCGTCGACGGCTCCAGGTGGTATTTATACAGGTTGTAGGTATCCGAGACTTGGTTCTATATATATTGTATAGTGTAAAGTCTTTAATTGCCCAAAAGGACAATAAACAAAGGGTTTAGGCTGATCTTATAGCTATTTCTGATCTATAGAACTCAAGGTCGTAGAAATGCAAATATTGGATGACAGAGCAGGTTCTACTCTTAGATTAACGATCTTATACAAAGAGATCGTGAGGTTTTTTCTCCTTCTTTTGAATTTTTTTTTTTCAATGACACCGGGATTAAGCTTGGAGTTTAATTTGATGAGCTGTAACTAGTGATATGACAATCTGTGTACATGTTACGGTCTCGTGAACTAAGTAGGGACAGGACCAGCGCTCACTTTTCTGTTTAAGTTCCCCATTGTCGGACGTTTATGCGCTATTTACCCATGGCCATTTCTCATACCCTTGTGCACAGTTAATCGCAGATAATTGGGGTGGATATACTAAGTACTTGTTGGGATCAAACTGATCTTCTTTGGGTTTTAAACGCGTGCTATTATATTGTGTGTTGTCGACGGTACCGCGTCCATTTCATCCTCACCCTAGCTGTATACTGAGGACACTATAATGGTGGGTATTCATAGACTATTGTTTAACTTGTTTACTGATTGTACTGATGCTTTGTCGACTTTGTTTATATCATTATTGTATAAATCTATATTGACATGATGACCAGGTGTGCATTTCAAAACCACAAGGTCTTGAATTCTTTTATTCGTGAGATTAAATTGTTTAAAGATTCCACTACGGGTCACATATTTGTTTTAAAAAGGTTGAACTTACAGTAAATGTTTCTGAGTATAATTCCGGTGCCTATGAAGACTCAGACTTCATTGCATATACATTTGAATCATTTGCTTAAGCACACTCTTGACTGAAATATGATGTTCACTATTTTGACGAATGTGTGGAGGTTTAGAAGCTGTGAAATATATGTGTTTACAGAAGCAGATATATATAATTTTATGTCATAATGACCAGTTCGTTAAAGAGGGCGCGGGTTTCGTGTCTGGAGGTAAGACAGGATGTCAACAATTATCTCCTATCTCTTGTGTCCACAGATTACCAGAAAATGCTCCAGCATCATATATTCTCAACAGGTACGTACAATGAATAGGTATGAGTGGATAATTGTGAATATGTCACTGCACTTGCCTTCCTTGGTAATGGCAGTCTAATCGATTCCAAATGTTCATCCAATTAAAACACCCTTACTTTTATTCATTTATACATAAAAAAAATCATCGTTTACTTCTCTGGCGAGGCACAACAAAAACTTGAAATTGAAGAAACTAAGATCTTGTTGTCCTAACCCACACAGCTTTATCCTTAAAATGATGAAGAATAACAATTTCCATTTTCATGCAATAAAAAATGTTGTTACTGAACAGTTAAAAAGTACTTATTTACCAGTTGATCCTGGGGGGAGGGACGTTATGGCCTTTATAGCTAGTCCTGGTTAACAAGGTACCACTGAATATATGCAGACTTCAATTGTGTTGTTTGTCTTGCAATAAAATTTATTTTCACTTCAATGTTAAACCTTTTGTGCAGTCACCATTTATGTGACACACTGTTAGCTGCAAAAATTGTTTTGCAATACATTTGTATTAACCCTTTCACCCCTATGTAACTTTAGTAGACTTTACCATGAATTGATATGGATGAGTCCATTATGGTCTACAGTGGTGAAAGGGTTAAGGAGATATGTTACAGAATTGTTAAGAAAAAAACCAGACCTTGAAATATGATGGCAGTAATTATAAGTGGGACAGCAAATAAAACAAGGAAGATTGTGTAGTGGCAATAAACAAGGTTGAAAATGAAACATAGAGCATTTTTTAGGAATTGTGAGTAAGGAGTGTACATTGACTCTCATACGTTTATTCAAAATTCAAATTAAAAAAAAAAATCACCCCTAGGTAACTTTAGTAGACTCTACCATACATTGATCTGGATGAGTCCATTTAGTCTACTGTGTTGAAAGGGTTAGCATGCTTTTGTTTCACTATAATTTGTCTATTACTGATAGTTTCATATACAGTATTAATAATTCACCCAGCGTCTACTATCTTCTGTGTGATTACCTATACCCAGTGTAACTAATATTTCATGCATATTAGATGGATTTGTATAATGAACAGGAAAAAAACTGTGTTTTATACATGTATTTGAACAGTGTCACCTGTCTAAACTGACTGGAATCCTGGGTAGACTAAACCTATCAATATGTCCACCACCTGTATATATTTAAAACTATTTCTATTGAATGTTAACCAGATGTGAGTAGACCAGAAACATGTCTATTCTAAACAATTTACATAAACAGTATCCTTATCTTGTTTCATTGTTGACTGTGTTTAATTTACATACGAATACTGAACATATAGTGTATGTATAGATACAGTACATTGTGTTTCTGTTTAAATCTCTCACAGTGCCTCGTGAATCGTTACCAAGTCTTTAAAAAACCATTAGCATCAACAGTATAGCAATTATTACCTTCACTTAAATTGACAGATAAGTGCCTTTTCTTCAAAAAGGGGAATTAAGTGCAAGACATAAATATTTATTATTGAAATTCCAGTAAAGCGAAATAAGTGACACATGTGCCATAACTTTAAACAATGTAAACATTATTTAAAGGATTTATATATTTGTATATACGGGGAGTTGTAAACAAATAACCATTATTGTCGTACATGTAGGATATTACCAAACCTTAATATGTATAAAAATACTTTCTTACAATGTTAGCACTATAATGATATTGTTGAAACACTGTACATATTAAATTCCCTGTTACGATATAGCAGGACCACTAGAGAGGGTGACGTAGTTTCAATGGGAAGGTGTGGAGACCTCCCAGAGAGACAGTTAGTGGATTTATATACGGTAATGTTATCAGGTGCACTCGGTTTACCACCAATTTCATTTAACTTAATGTAACATCAGTAGTTATATAACACCGTTATTAAATTGTATTTACCTGTTACACGCCTCAGCAAGTCCTTTTGACTTGTCATGTGAAGGTAAAGTCATTGATACATGTACAGGTTTACAGTTAATGTGTATGTGCGATTTAATTCAATTTAAATGTATATTTACCAGTGCATGTAACCAAATCACTGGTAAACAGATAATTAGAAAGATCATGAAAATGGACAATTACGTGTCCTTGACCAGCTGATTTCTATTTGGTCTCAGATTTCATTATATTAAGTTTTACTACAAAAATCTGTGGAGAAAATATCCAATGTGTGACGTATATGATTTATGACCATTCAAGTGAGTTAATTTTCGTATATATATACAAACAATGTTTGCTTATTTTTACAAACAACATATACTTGGGTATCAGTTGGGGGTTATACCTGGTAACTGGTGTAAATATAAAGTTTACATATTTTTTTTTTATCTCGAAACATAACCTGAAATGCAAATGAAAATAGTACTCTATAATATCATGCATGTCACAATGAAATGATTAAAAAAATTGGTTCCCATTGAAAATAATTTTATATGAAAAAAGAGTACTTCCCAGGAGTGATAGTCTATTATTTCTTCAGTTTAAATGATAGTTTTATCACACTTGTAATAGAATACAAGTTATGTCTTATAGTTTTCAATATATTTTCTGGTATTTCCATCTAAGTTCAGTAAATTAATGTATTATGTTATGTACTGAAACTATGGTTTCTCCAGGCTGGGGCACAAGTGCAAGCAAGGCTACCTCTGACCGCTACAATCGTCATTCATCCTACCCCACAGTGTCTCCCTCGGGGACTATCAGTCCCCCACTCGCCACACGGACCCGCCACACGGACAGTCTAGCAACCACAAACTATAGTGATCCCAAGATTTACAACAGTTATCAGCCATCCAAGTATGGCCTCTCCTCTGACAGCCAATATGATGTCTCCTACGTCAACAAGGAGTTTGGGGAACTCAATGTTGAGAACACGGTGAATGTTATAAGTGATGACACCTTTGATAAAACTGCTCCGTACGCACCAACAAAGTACGAATACAAGAGTTATGACTCATCAGACCCATACAAGAAAAGGAGTAAGGCGAATAGCTATGTATCATCTCGGCCAAGGACTACCGATTTTGACTTGGAAAGACCAAATATTGCAGCAGATGATACCGATTGGTCCTCTCCAACGAAGCGAACATCATTGGATGTACCGCAACATTTGTTTATGACCCCGGCCCGTAGTCGGTCATCTGTCACTGAAGCAGTTGACTATGGCCGGGTGGAAAGACCTGCCAGACAGACTGGAACAACAAAATCTGCAATTGATGATCTATACCAAAACAAACATTATGTTGAGAACGGAGATGCCCATGTGACGGAAAGACCACCCCGTACCAGGGGGAGAGACTCTTCAGGGCGGCGTCCAGTTTCAGTAGGGGCAGTGTCCAGTGACTTAACCAATTGGCAGAAACACCACCAAGATCAACTTGTGCATCAACAGATAGAGAAAGAGGTAAAGATACTGAACATTCTTCTATATGGTTTCTGTATATGATTGTCAAACTTCTTTATCCTTCTGATATTTGGAGTCACCAGTTTTTCTGTCTGTTGTTTAATCTTAATTTTCCAATTGTTCTTTATAATATGAAGTCAGGATTTACCAACAATCAGTAGATTCTAATCAAATTACATCCTAATTGCAACTCTTCATTACCCATAATAAACATATACTGTAAGATATCAGTGTTTTACTTTTTGTTTTAAATTAAAACATTAAAATTTGTTTAACTTTAAAAAGGAGCTGTTCGTGGAAGCGGCATGTTTTGATCAGACGGAAATGGAAACAAAATTTGTTAAGAATTTTAGCAAAGCATTTAAAATATCTGCTCTTAATATTAAAGTCAATTGACTCTATTTCAACTCAGGGTGGATTTGGAAAAACTGGTGGTCAAGGATTTGATCGATTGTTTAATCACATCTCTAATGGTGAGGAAAACTCAGAGAAGTGGAACTCTGTCAAGCATGCAGCCGACGCCGTCATATCAGAAAAGGATATGTACATAAACAAGTAGGTAGACACTGCCTTTTTAACATTGGTGTGTGATTTAAGGATGTGTATAGTAATACTAAGTTGTGTGTACTGAATACATTGTATTTCCATATCCTATAAAATATGTTGTGTGTATACGTATCATCATACAGAAATAAGGTTTTAATTTGTATGTAATTCAAGGTTCCAATTACTGTAAATCCTCATTATATTTACTGCTACTATTTGTCCTGCAAAAAGTAAAACATAATGTACGGTACTTGGTTTTAAGGAAAGAAAGAAATATTGGACCTTGAAATATATTTGGGTAGGCAAGATGACACAGGAATCCTTGTATTGGTACGATAGAGGTTAATATGGTGCTACTGTACATGTGTATGGCTGAAAAACCCATTATACTTCAGTTGACATAGAGGTTATAGCCCGTAGACTTGACTTTGAGATTACTGTATTAGCAATATGGAAATTGATATTGATATGACATTAATAAAACATGATTCAATTTCAATTAGACTGAAGATGCAGAATATGCAGTTGGAGGAAGATAACAAACAGTACGAGGCCAAACTTCGGCGTGCACTGATGAGTGAATCTGACCAGGGCAATGAAGCTTATTCACAGATTAAGGTAGTCACCTTTCCTTAAACCAGACCTTACTGAACAAAAGAACCATTCCTTTCCTAAATTTGAGCAAAATTTCCAAATTTTTCAAGTAAAAAATTGTGAATTCAAAAAATTAAATTTAAAAAAATTAAAATGACAAAGTACGATATTGAACTTCATTTACATACAGGATCTGGAGATGAAGAACGTTACTATGAAGTCAGATATGTCTGAGTTGAGGTCTAGAAACAAGGTGGAACTGGAGGAGCTCGAAATCAAATTGGGGTAAGAAATATATCACAGTCACTGAAGATCATTTTAACCTTTTCACCCCTAGGTAACTTTAGTAGAGTGTACCCTACATTCATCTGAATGAGTCCATTATGGTTTACAGTGGTTAAAGGGTTAAGATTGACTCTTTTCTACATAAGGATATTTTATGGTTTCCCATGGAATACCACATATATTTCACTAGTATGGCAGAATATCTTCACTACAACAGTGAAGATTATAAGTTCCTGATATTTCACCAGTAAAAACGAAATAAATCAATTTGCTTTTAGTAATAGAAAGTCTACACGCTAACAAAAAACAAGTTTAGTTGTTTATTCACTGACTCACAAATGTCTGTAAACACAAATACCTGCTGTCTTTTCATTTTATTCATATTTCTATGTTAGTTAATTTGTTTTGCTACATTTTCTATTATTATCTATATGAGATGTGTGGATGGTCGGTAAAAGTACAATAAGTTTAAATGTAGGATTCCACTAGCTTAATGCTGAGGACTACTAAATTTTTAATCAGGCTGGAAGAAATTTCATTATTTACCATGAAATCATAGGGTTATCTAAAATTCTGCCTCCCGGCTAATAATCTACATATGAAATTGTACTTACCCGATATATGATACAAGTTGGTCTGACACATTTTATCCGACAGTGCTGCTGAACATGAAGTGATGCAGCTGAGGACAGCACTCAGAAAACGAGTGCCAGAATTCCAAGATGATCTACACTCAAAGGTCAGACTTTTATCTGGCAATGACCATGATAATCATCTCACTACATGTTTATATTTAAAGTGAAAAAAAGAAAGAAAACTTATTTTGAACTCGGATAATCTAAAAAAACTGACTAACAAGGTGTAGTTATTCTAGAGCTGACCTCCTTATGTCTTTTTTTAGTAACAAATAAGGATTCATTAAATCTAGAAACGTTTTTGCGTTTCCTTTTTTTATTTTTAAACGGTGTCGTCTGGACCAACAAGATTCCAATGCAATTGTGACTTTTATTTTTTCATGATATTTGACCATGATCTTAATTTTGATGTAACCTTGACCTTGTCAGATTGACCAATTGGAAGATGAGAAGGAGGAATGGAAGATGAAGTTCCTGGAGGTGAAGGACAGCCACCACAGTCTGAAGCAGAAACAGGAGGAGCTACAGCGCTACCTGACCGGCCTACCAACACTAGAGGAGGCAGCTAGGCAGGATGACGAGATATCCTTTGCACACACTCGTAACTAATCCCATGTTTTACCCTGTGTCAAATATACACATGATGTGACATCACCTTTAAATAGAATTACCTATTTAGAAATAATACTTTAGTGATGTACAGGTGGGTAAAAAATACAATAGGTATATGTATAGTAAGGAATCTCAGCCCCTCAAGTTAAATTTTATCGTCTAAGACTTTTCTTGGTAAAACAGAGGAACGAAACCCTATGTTTAGTAGTCTATATGAGCCTTAGTTCTTCTGAGTTGTGACAGCATTTGGTCTGTTACTCATAAGATAGCCCCATTTCTTTCATATCTGCAAGTGCAAAACAGGTATTGTTTTAAGGAGACAGCTCTTTGGGGAATTCCTGTCGTCTACAAAACTGCTATGAGGCCACTTAATAAATTTTGATCTTCTGTCATTTAAACATTGAACAGATTCAAAAACAGAATTTACAAGAATTTCCTTTGCAAGACAAATGTTTACATATGGCTTAAAATGGCCACAATATCTTTCATTTGTAACCCAAACCCGGTCCCTAGCCAAAGTAGTTAAAACGGATTTTCGAAGTAAAGAATTATTTTTGGTCAAGTATTCAAAAGTCATCAGATCATGATCTGGTGCCCATCATATTTGTAAACACAGGTCTATATATAGGTCATCAGATTTGACACTCTATGGCATCATTGGACTGGTGTACATATATTTGACCTAGTTTTGACCTTATCGAGTTTCAAAAAGTGCTTGACTTTGAATTAACAAAAGTCTCCTGCTGTGTAGGTTTGGTTAATAGTGGAGTCAGATTGTGGACGTTTTTTAAAATCTGGATTATAAGGTAATCCTGTGTATAAACCTGAGCTGGATTAATGGTAGTAGTAAGTCCTTTGTAGTAAGTTGTAATGTCATTGAAGAAAAGAAATCTCATATTTCAATTCAGCATTTAAGTCCTGTCCTTAAATTTATTATTAAAATGTATTTGTTATTTTTGAATGACAGATTTGAGACTTTTGTGTTACTGCTGATCACTAATATTTTGTGGCGATTTATTTGTGAGATTTTGAATTGTTAAAGGAACATCAAGTACTATATATCCCATGTTAAATTGTCGTGTAATAAGAGATCATGATCACCTCTTCTCAAATATTTATGCCGAAAAATGTTGATGAAAATATTATTCAAGGTTTTTATTTAGAAATTTAAATTGTTACAGTAACTATGTTGAAGGATTAAACGCATTGAGATGATTTCCAGATTAAGAAGTGTCAATGTGAAAAAATTACCTGCTGGTCTAGGGTCCGTCTTACACCCATAATACAATGTAAACTACTAAGTCTTAATAAAACTTTGGATAAATCTGGTTTCCAAGAAATCCATATATATGTATTAATGAAATTAAATTGTACATATCAGTATTCACTATTCAATTAGATCCTTTTTTGCATACATTATCTTTTAAATGAAGAATATACTTTAAAGTGTATGCAGTTACCACAGTCTAGTCAGTGTTTTGGTGGACAACTGTATTATTCTATGTACAAGTGTTCTAGTCATGTAGCAATTTCACTATCCAGCCACTTATAGCATGGAAAGAAGGTAGCTGGACTAGGGAGACTTGAATTTACCTGTATTTGCCTTAACCTGTGTACATTAGAGCTTACAGTGAAGACAACAAGCTTCAGAAAGAGCGCATTGAAGAACTCCAGCAGGAACTGTTTGACACGCGCAAAAACCTGTCCTCTCGCGACCTCCAAATAGAGGAGATGGAGAACAAGGGGAAACAACTTGGGGAGAAATTGTCAATTCTCACTGATGAAATAGATCGCTTCAAGTCTATTGGCCAGGGGGCAGCACTGAGACTAAGGGAGGAGGAGTTACAGAAACTACAGGAGGAGAATGACCGGTTTTCTACTGATCTGGACAAGGCAAAGAAGGTATGGTATATCACACATGTTAAAAAAAAAAACATTATTAAATTGGGGCCTTTTAAGAACTACACCATATTTAATAATAAAAAAAAAGTATTGACCTTGTGCCTGATTAAAACTTCCTGTTTTAAATATATTCTAGGCCTGCAGTACTTTGCCAATTCATTTGATTCAGTCTGAAAAAGTACATGATTACAACGGGCTAATGATATGATTTGTCACAGTTTTTGGCAGAGGTATGGATCCTTAGAGTCTTTATTTTGGTCTCTGATGTCCACTTATTAAGAAGGATGATGAAAATGGAATTTGTTTTTGATTGATAGAAATTGTTTGCTCACAGTTATTGGAGACATGCCATCGAAAGATTCGTCATCAGGATGTGAAGCACCAGAACAGTGTGAAATCAATGGAGGAGAGACTGTGCCAGGAGGAGGAGATGGTGAACGCTCTGAGGGAGGAGGGGCGTCTCAGGGACGAACAGGGCAGCAAGATCAAGGCAACACTCAAACAGGTACAGTCCTACCAGGACATAGGACTATCAAGGGATTCTTGTACAATTTCCGATGGAAACTGCAGAAATATCATCTAAACTAAATGAATCGGGAAGTTCAGTATATTTCCTTTAAGATTTTCATTGAGAAAGGAAGGTAAATTCATAAAAATTGAGCAAGTAAAAAGATGGGGGATACGTGGATGTTCTAGGTGCTCTGTAGATCTGCCATGGAGCCCTACTCAAGAAACTGAACAAAATGTGACAGTTTAACAAATGTTTCTTATTGAAATAAAATTTCAATTCGCTACAGTTAAACAAACCAATCTTCTTCCTAGGGTTATCCTCTTAATGTAAGCCTAGCCAGGTATTATAAACAGCAATGTGTTTACAGCTGCAGAGCCAAAACCAAGAATTACTGGACCAGAACCTGACAATGAGGGAGCACATCAAACACCTAGAGCAGCAGCACAGTGATGACAACCAGCGACTTCAGAGACAGTTCACCACCGAGCTTGGTATCTGTTTCTCTGAGCTTCAGGCTCTTGTGCAGATCTGTGTGCAACGGGCTGAAGGGCAGGACCCTAACATGTCCGACCTCCTAGGGGTCAGAGGTGAGTAGGTCATACATAAGCTTGGTCTGTAAGCTCCATTAAGGAATCTTGGTTTGTAGGATTGAATCTTCACCTAACTGACCTTCTAGGGATCAGAGATGAGTAGGTCATAAGTAAGCTTGGTCTGTAAGCTCCGTTAAGGAATCTTGGTCTGAAGGATTGAATCTTTACTTACCTGACCTTCTAGGGATCAGAGGTGAGTAGGTCATACCTAAGCTTGGTCTGTAAGCTCCATTAAGGAATCTTGGGTCTGTAGGATTGAATCTTTACTTACCTGACCTTCTAGGGATCAGAGATGAGTAGGTCATACATAAGTTTGGTCTTTAAGCTCCATTAAGGAATCTTGGTCTGTAGGATTGAATCTCTACCTACCTGACTTTCTAGGGGTCAGAGAGTAGTAGGTCATAGGTTAAATTGATATCTCTAAGCTCTATTTTAAATCTGTAGGATTGAACCCCAACATACCTGACCTACTAGGGGTCAGAGGTGAATAGACCAAAGGTTGGGCTTTTGTGCTCTGTTATCAAAGAGGTTTAAAAGTACACTCCATATGGAAATTTGTGACCTGAAGGATAAATTCCTGATGTATCTTACCTGCTTTATGTCACTTTTTGTTTTATATCATGTTTTCTGTATACTGTACTATAAAACTCAAAAGTTTTGCACTGTGGAAATTTCCGCTAATTTTGTATTTATTAAAATAGCTTGATATTGATACAACATATATTGTAGAAAACCAGTTTCCACATGAGTTTATCATAACTATATGTTCTAAGTTATGTTGATTCTGAATATTAACTGGCCGTGGCTTATATGTTTGACCGTATATAAACATGAATGATGGTTTTGACATGGTTAACAGAACCTCTGTGTTGTTTTCCCAGCTGATGTGGAGACAGCAGCCACTGGTGGTCCACAGGTAGAGGCCCAGACCATGAAACATTGGCTGTCCAAGACACGAGAGCTCCGCACCGAAATAGAGCAGTTACGAGTGATGATCTGTAACAAATACGCGGAGGACATAGGGGACAATCTCAACTGTACAACACAATAATGTCTTCAACTGTAAACTTAGGACCTCAACTGTATATAATTGCATCACTGACCTCAAATGTATGATATTCAATGACATGACCTCAAATGTGGCAATATTACGTGATACAAGGACTAACTGTCTCATGTCTTCCTGTGATTTATAGTACCAGGAATGTTATATAAACCAAGTTTATATGCCTGCAGTTGAACCAGGCATAAGGATCAAACCATGTTAACCTAGAATCTGATATCAGTCTGGAAACTGATTTCCAGATATTTAAAGGAACGGATTTACATATATAAAGGACAATTCATCTTGTATTTATTCAGAAAATTTATTGTTTTGGAATTTTTTTCCCCAAGATTTAATATAATTAGATTTACAATATTCCTCTGTATTCATGTTTTGTGACGGAGCATTATCTTAAAGTTTCCTTTTTAGCACAAACTTTGTAAAATAAGTACCAAAGAAAAGAGATTGTCAAGGGCTATTTAAGGAATGTATGAGGGACAGGTACACACATATAATTGACATCTGTTAGTACACATGTACATGTATCTTAAGAATAAGAAGTATAGCTGTACACGTAATAATTTTGCTGGGTCAAACTTTCACCTTGTTATACAAAGACCATGTTTGAAGTACCACTTGAATCTCACTACACTGTGAACTACTTTTGGTTTAACTATAATTTTTGTATTCAACATTGGCAAATAGTTGGTAAAATGTGAATTTGATGTTTGTGTTCTGATTTTGGAGAAAATGACCCATACATCACCACTCTTTCACAGTAAATGTATAACCGCTATACAGAACTTGTAAATTACTATATTATGAAAGGCTGTGAAAAGTGTTTGAAAGCATTGTAACATTTCTATATTGCAGTATGAAAACTGAAGTATTTTAGCGGTATGATTTTCTAGTCATGGATTGCATATAAGCCAGTAAGGAATTAAACTTAGCTTAGAACTAGAATTTAGACAAAAGCATATACAAGTACTAGAAAGCGTCATAAATACAAAATATTGTAGTTGTGTTTTGGATATAATCCTACTTGAGATAAATGTGTTTATGCTGTTTGCTTTGATTTACAGTCTTAAGTATTAATTGAATTTGAACCTAAAGCTATCAAAATTTGCACTGAAATTTCTTCCGTTTGTCAAAAAAAGCAAGTACATTCAGTTAAGTAAACTTTTAATGAAATGAACATTAATAAAACCAAAGCAAAACATTCCAGTTAACCCTTTCACCCCTATGTAACTTAAATAGATTCTACCATGCATTGATATGGATGAATCCATTATGGTCTACAGTGTTGAAAGGGTAAATGATATAAGTAAATAAGTAAAAGTTGTGGCTTTTATAATGAAGTAGGAGTAAGTAAAATATGTGAAGCTGTAATTTCACTTGTGCTGGAATACTTGTTTGTTAGATTGTTACGGATTCTATTGAAACAAAGAGTATTTCAGCATGTGTATCTATAGTGAAGTTGATATATATTTATACCGGTAATAGTACAGGTGATATTTAAATACCTGATCTGTATCATTTCATGCTCATACCAGACTGACATTAGAGAAATATAACCAGCATGTCCATTAATATTGTTGTATAGATCAGATTGTAGTGTTAAGAGTGAAGTTTAAAGTGTCATTTCAACATGTTGATCACGTGTGAACGAAGTTTTATTCACTTTTAAATGTTCGGTAAGTAAACATGTGCAGAGGCAGCTTGGGTGGGAAATATTTCTATTGATGCTGAAATCATAATATTGTTCATTAGTTGTACCATACATTCGTCATATTTACTGAATATGTTCAGGTCTGAGGGGAGTAACTCCATTCATTTTGAGTTAATTCCATTCATGTTTACTACTCCATCTTAGAGTTGTCGTATACATTGAAGTCACCTGTATTTGTGCTAAACAAGGACTTTATCGTTCATTTTACTGTTCTTCATAATCAGCATAAATGTGTAGTTTTGCTGAGTTTGTGTCTGAACAACTGAACAACATCAATGGCAAAGAACTAACAGATGAATAGAGTGTGAAATCCATTATCTAGAATCTAGATGAAGAAAATCAATTAAGTATTGATATGTATATAAAGCCAGGGTACTGTTGTTTCATTTAATGTTGGAAATATTGATATTTGTTGCGTGCAATTACAATACATTGTATTATTAAAAGAACATCTTGTACATACCTAAATTATTAAATCATCCATCCCTCTTGTAAATAAACATTTAGCATTTCTTTGATTGCATTCAAGGGAGTTCAATAGAAACTATACACTTATAATAGACCAAAGATCGGGTAACAGGTTAACATTAAGTATAAACCACTATCTTATAGGATATAGAAGCTACTACTGTGTACCGGGAGAAATTTTGACCACACTTTAAATTTTGCTTTTTCTGCCCTCCACAATGAGGGGAAATTTAGCATGACAGCTAATGTAACTACACAGCGTACCCTTTATATAGAAGCTACATGCTAAAGGAGGAATTTACACTGGGGAATATACATTTTACCAATGACAGGCAAATGTTTGACAAGGCGATCGTTTCCTGGTATACTGAGTGTTATACCAACAATTGTCGGGCCAAAACATAACTTTCAAATTCTCATCTAAGATCCAAGATATTCCAAATGTCTAAATTATTTACTTTGTTAAAGCTGATCACTGAATGGGTAAAACTGCAATTTGAATCTCCAAGGAAATAGTACCGGTAGTCAGTGATATAATATGTGATCGATACTATTGTTAGCATGCTGTTCATATCAAATATAATAGAAATCTGAATTTATATCAATTTCTATGTGTCTGAGGAAAACGTTTGTATGAGTTTATTGACTGTGATATGATATCAAAGTTTTACTTTCTACACAAAACAATGTACGTATTAAACGTTATCAAGCTATGACACCATTTGTCAGTCATAGCTTAACAAAGGGACCAGTCAGTCTTGAAACGTTGCGACACGTTTAAAATGTACATTGCTTGTGAAGAAAGTAAAACTTTGAAATCCTATCACATATTTCCAAACTGATGAATCTTATTGAAGAGTTTATTGACTGTCTTCACAGACCTGCTGTATATATTACATTGTAGTTAGACTGTGATATTTATTCTGTTTGAACGTTTTTGTTATGTATGATGACTCCAATGTATGACTTACAAGAAAGGAATGAAAATGGGTGCTGTAGATTTTAAACATTAATGTAAAGGTTGTTATTTTCACATGGGTTTTATTACTCCCATTAGTTACCAACAACAAACAGGTCTTCGGAAGAATTTATTTTGTTAAATTGATATATTTTTGTCAGAACTTTTCTGTATGGAAGGAAGTCTTTTGACCACAAAAAAACTTTAACGCGTAAAACTCAGAATGCATTGAAATGAAGTGTCACTGAAACCAAAACCTACTTAGTAACTTGAACTTAGAAAAGGGATTCTGTTTCTGTTACACCTTAATAATTTCAATGCATTCTGAATTGAAGAATGACATTTTTCTGGGTTTTTTTTTGAGAAAAACATTATCTCCAGGAAAATTTAATAATCTGGTTATTTCTGCTTCTTTTTTTTTCAGAAATAAAACAATTTCGATTTCACTGGATCAGCTTTTCATTGAATTGCAAGAAAAGTATAAGGAACTGGTAAAGATAAGAACCTTTACATTAGGTTTTGTTAGTATTAATTTGTTTCTGATATTGTAAATATGTTTGTGTATGAACTATGATTGGTAGCTGTTCTGAATTCTGAGCGTAAATGTATGATATACTGCTGTTAAGGACTGCTCGTCCTAGCTCGGGATCATGAAACAATCTAGACATAAGTGTAGCTAAACCTTGTTGATGTGGTTGACCTATAACTACTCGCATTCGTTTATCGCAATCCAAACAGTTGAACCAGTTGAACCAGACCTGTTCATTTATGAAATAAGGTCGGACCTAGTAATCTGATGCTCTTTTAAGGCAAGCCTTGACGAAGCCTTGCAAGGCCTGCATAAACATTTGCACCAGGATTTATACCTGAAAAATATTACATTTAAAAATTAACAAATAGATTGAACCGGATATGCAAAGGTTGTCATAGTAAACCACAAGGCTAAAAGGGGAATTCTATCCTTACAGACATTTTCTGGTATCAATGACCTTGGTGTTGACCTTGTGACCCTGAAATAGGATCTCATTTAAAATTTGTATAAGCTTTGACGAAAAATCTATTTAGAAAGAAGTCAATATAGAGTCATGAAACTGAATCGCCAGGAGGCATGGTAGTCCAGTGGTAGGGCGCCTGGCTTGTGACCAAAGGGTTGCGGGTTCACGGCACGGCACGGCACGTCACGTCAATGTGTTGTATCCTTGAGCAAGATACTTTACTCCGCTTGTTCCATTCTGCTCAGCTGTTAATGAGTATGTGGTTGGGCAGTGCTAGAATTGTTGAATGCTAGCTGTTAGCGCCGAAATGGCAGCTCCGGCTGTATGCTCCCCAGGGAGTTGGGAAATGTACTGGCTAGTTGCAAAGGCCCTATAACCACAGATAATAATTTGTGAACCGCTTTGAGACGACCTACGAACTAGGTTGTGATAAAGCGATATATAAGAACCTCCAATTATTATTACTATAACAGGAGGCGACACGATGTGACAAGGCAGACATAAGTAAACATTAAAATATTAAAAAACTAAAAGATTTAATTCTATGACTGTTTCATGATCCTGATGCTTTCATTTGGGTTGTAGGCAGAACTTGACATGCCTGAGGAAAATATAATGTAGCCTGATTTTTATTGTAAACATAAAAAAAATCGCTAAAATCTGTTTTGTACTGAAGATGGATTAATGTCACCTGTAAAATATAGTTTAATGTAAATAATACCATTCAGGTTTACACAAAGTTTAGGTTTTCTCTTCTATATAGAAAAAAAAGGAAAAAATTGACAATATAAATCCTGATGTGAAGTGAGCTCTTTCCCAATGTTGGAACTGTGTTGCTTTGTTTGAAGCGAGGCTAATGGGGGGAAATGATCACACTCTCCTTGTATCTATCAGAAGATGAATATATCATATTGGATATTTTTCGATTTATTTATCATACGAACATACTGTATGAAGTGTATTTGAGCATTGAGTCTAGCAATTTCTAGCCTTGAATATTCAGTACTTTTTTAAAAACCTCAGAAGAAGTTTTGTCTACATCCCTTTGAGCATACAGTTTCTATAAAGATTTCATGTACAAATTTTGTCATGATATGCTGTTGCATTCCATTAAATGTTTAATCATAAATTTCATAAAACAGGGTTTTGATACATATTTTTGTGCAAAATTTGTATGTCTTGATCCTTTTTATTTTCAATGAATATTGTATGAGAAACATACATTTTTTCTTCAGTGTCATATTCTGCTGTATGAATCTCCCACCGAAAAGCTCATTTGTTTATATGCCATTATACCATTTAAAAATGTATTTGCTACAAAAAAATGTCCATGTACATACGTATGTCATTCACCAGATTTATAGAACGTCACCACCAAATATTGCACTGTTAGACAATAGCTTGCCACTGTATAAAAAAAGAGTATTCTCTATGTGTGTCAATTAAAATTTGTTTCAGTGACGTCAGAAAATTTACAAGGTTTTTGTGCAAATATATTTGCAGGATTTGTTTACATTAAATGTTTGCATTGTGTGGTAGAGGGTTTGGGTAGGATAGGAACTATAGTCTAATCACCAACATTGCAAATTTGATGAAGACTCAAATGCTGAATATTTGCCTTACCATTTATGATATTGGCACAGGGGTTTGTGGTGTTTCTATTTCCTTTTTAAAGGCATTTCTGCTCAGAAAATACCAACAATATAGATTCTTTATCCAGAGGCTAGAAATAGAAACCGATATAAGAACATTTCAAGCATTTCAAAATTTTAGTTGTGTGTATGTTAATTAAAAAATTAAAAAAAACAAACATTTCAAGCCCCTGTGATGATTGACGAAAATAAAAGCTGAATTGCAATGCAACAAGTTTTGTTGTGTTATACTACAATCAAAACATCAGTCACATCAATGCTGGTGTTGATTTTGTGTAATTGCTGATAGTATACTATATTCATACAAACTATGTACATGGTTGTCGACCTTGACCCTACCCACCTGCCCCACCCACCGACCCTGCCCTCTAAGAGGGTCTAGTCACATGACTAAAGTCTCAACAGTATTGTATTGTAAACCACTGCCAGACCTTTTGGTCTCATCAGCTCTCCTGGCCGACTAGGCTAGGTAGGTCTGTTTATGTCATGGCGTCTCGTCTGTCAACATCTTTGTCAAATAACTATGAAAGTTGTTTTTGTGTAACCAATTTTTCAGCTTTAAAATACAGATACATTTTGTACATATCATTTCAAACTTGTATATGTTGAATAAGAAATCATATCATTAAAATCCATATTTCCTGATTTACCAGCTGAGCGGTGTAAGCCCTTTTGGTTGTTGTATATAGTTTTATCATGTGTGTCCCTATAACTATGTTTTTCAGATTGTTTATTAAAATGATTAAAAATAAAAAACGTTTATGCTTTATTATTTTCTGAAACGGACCTATAAAAAATGCATGATACATTTTAAACAAATGTTTTTTACCAAATAATTAAACAATCAACAATTTGTGGAAAAAGGCTTTTGTTTATTAAGATTACTGTTACATCAGTCAACAACTATCAATTGGAAACCATTCTTCAATTTGATTTTGGTATCGTACCATGATTGGTCCCGAGATACTCTAACATTATGATGAAAAGACCTAGTTTCCGATTGGAAAACTTGTGCATGTTTACCATTGTATAGCATTGTCACTAAATAACCCTACCAAATTCAGTTGGCATTTATATAGGCTATGAATGTCATGGACCAATTGTTGATGTCATAATTGTTACGTTGGATACCACTGGCCCTCCCTGGGCGATGACTGTTCTATTCATTAATTGAACTTAAATGCTGAATAATAGTAAGTATAATTAAATTTTCTAATAGGTGAACAGATCCCCAAAATGGTAAATACACATCTGCAATGTTCAAAATACCTTGACAAGGGAAGTAGCTCTAATCCAGAGTCAAAGACAGCTCTGAAGTGAAACTCTTCTTCATAATTATAATACGTGTATGGTACCCATTACTGGAGTGTAATGGTGCTTCCTTACCAAAAGTGCTTGCTTGGGATTGCTTTTCAGGTCCGAAGGTCAAAGGTCAAGGTCACTGTTATCATAAATAGAAAATCTGTTTTCGGGCGATAACTGGAGTTTCCTTTGGCCGATCAAACTCAAACTTCATGCAGTGCTTCCTTACCAAAAGTGCTTGCTTGGGATTGCTTTTCAGGTCCGAAGGTCAAAGGTCAAGGTCACTGTTGCTATAAATAGAAAATCTGTTTTAGTTCGATAACTCGAGTTTCCTTGGGCCGATCAAACTCAAACTTCATGCAGTGCTTCCTTACCAAAAGTGATCTACCACTCATGATAAACTTACCATGTATACTAAATGCCTTGGAAATACCACTTGACTCGCCGTGTATACAAAATGTATTTGTTCTACCACTCCACTCAATGTGTCTACTAATTAAATGCCTTGGATCTACCACTCCACTCATCATGTATACAAAATATGCCTTTAGTCTTTCACTCGACTCGCCGTGTATACAAAACGCCTTGGCCACCTGACTGGCATTATATACTGGACGCATTGGATCTACCACTCCACTCGCCGTGTATACAAAATATCTTTGATCTACCACTCCACTCATCGTGTATACAAAACGCCTTTAATCTATCACTCGACTCACCATGTATACTAAACACCTTGGATCTATCTCTTCACTAAAACTGTATACTGGACGGCTTCGATCTACCACTTGACCCACCGTGTATACCTCTGAAATGCCGTCTTACTCCAAATGTTATTGACAACACTAGCTGTTTAACATCATAATCCACAAGTTTATTTATTTATGGGAAACCATCCGACAAATCATACAAACTAAACTTGGAATTGAGACAATGAGTATCCATAGCAAGTTCCTTAAAACTCAGAGTAATCTTCCCAGAATAACAGATTATATAACAAAATGATGCCATCCAAAAACATAATCTATGATTATTGCTTACTTTTAACATTATTTCTTGAAATGAAGAGTGTATCTATTTCTTCGTAAACTCCCAGCTTCCTGCACAGGTAACACATCCACTTCCCTGGAATTCTTGTCTAATTTATTTTCCAAAAATCCTTTTTCTAGTATATCACGATAGTACATGTAGATGGTAACCTGGGCCCTGTTCGCTTATGGGGAACAACCAGTACGTCCGTTTTTAAATGTATCACTTTCGGGTATAAATTAGAATTCTGTAATCGTCAATATTGACGGAGGAAGGTTTATAGATGAAGGAGATGAAGAAATCCTGTCAGACCTGCAAATGTTTATGCAGGCCTTTGCAAGCTAGGCTTTGTCAAGACTCGCCTGAAAGCAGCATCAGATTATTGGGTCCAACCTTAATTCATAAACGAACAACTCTGGTCCAGCAGGTTCAACCATTTGGAACGCGATTAAACGAAAGCAGCCCAGCTAGGATTCCATGCAAATACAAGTTGACTAAATATGGTTATTTGTGAGGTGACACTCAGCCTATATATCTAAGCTTTGATATCTAGAAAGAGAAAAAGTACAGTATGACTGATACACTCCTCTGAAAGCGCATTTTATAGTGATCCATTTATAACATGGATGATAACCATAAGTGCCTATTGTTGCCATGGCTATTTGTCTAATATATATATATCTTCTTATAGTTACTGCACATTAAGTGATACTCTATCCAACATTTATTTTAAAAATTCATATTTTTTTTACAAATGTGTTTTGATGGTAATTAGAAAAATTGAAAGGACTCAATAAGTAAAAATAATCTTTTTAAAACAAGACTCATAAATCATTTAGCTGTTTAATTCCGGATAAAATGGATGTCGGGTTAAAATATTCGAAGGTTTTAATCGCAGTCACGAAAATGTTTATCGGGGAGGTCGCTTCAAGGATAGTCGATTTGATTCCTATAACGACGTTGAATTTTATTAGTTAGTGAAAATGGCAGCCACTTTGTCATTCCGCTGGCTGGAAATTCTCGAAAAAGAATTCGATAAGTCATTTGTAGATTTGGATTTACTACTTGGAGAGATAGATCCAGACCAATGTGAACTCACATTTGAAGGGCGACAAAAAATGACAGCACTAAGTGCCGCTTTTGCTCAACTGTGTCACAAAGCACAAACCATTTTTCAGTCAAATGCCAAAATAGAAGTAAGAAAATCTGTCTGTCTATACTCCGAAGGTTATGCGCGGTCTTTCTCTTGCCCTTAGTATTATGCTAATAGATAAGTAGCGTATTTCCCGTTCAAAATACAGTGATGCAATCTATCAATTTGACAAATTTCCGTAGAGGAAGTTGCCACGTCACTGTAAATAATACGGCGTTATGCCGGTGTTTTTTTTTTTTTTATCGATGTTTATGTTGTGTACATACGAAGAGTGATGCAAATCCGAACCTGTCATTACATGCTTAAAATTAGTTTGGACATAGAAGTCTTCAATCCTGGATATGAAATATTCGTTCGTACATGTGTATGTATACATGTATGCATATAAATAACATAAACCTCTCCTTGATCTACATCGGCGCGTCTAATTACCCAATACTACCCAATACTACCCAATATGCGATTTGGTGCAGAAAACATCACCGAAATGCCGTGACTAGGGGTTCGACGATTTACAGGAACGGGCAGAAAACTATTAATTATTATATATACATTAATGAATATGTATATTAGATACATTTAAGTATCATTATCGGGTATAAGATATATTTGATAAAAGAATTGCAATTACATGATACTATATTAATTCTATTCATGTCATAAAATGGTGTTATTAAGATCATATATATAAATATAGCAGGAAATATTTAGAAANCTTCCATCTGCCATATTTTATCGGGAAATATGCGATTTGGTGCCGAAAACATTACCGAATTGCCGTGACTATGACCCAATACTACCCATTACTACCCCATACGACCCAGTTATGAACCAAATACTTCTTTATTATTGTGAAATATCACCTTTGTAGACGTTATTTACTTCCATCTGCCATATTTTATCGGGAAATATGTGATTTGGTGCCGAAAACATCACCGAATTGCCGTGACTATGACCCAATACTACCCCATACCACGGAATTAGATTAGATCTAAGTCCGTGCCCATACCACCAATACTACCCAATACCACCCAATCCTACCCCATACGACCCAGTTATGAACCAAATACTTCTTTATTACTGTGAAATATCACATTTCTTGAAGTTGTTTTCTTCTATATATGTCACATCCTATCTGGAAATATGCGATTTGGTGCAGAAAATCACCGAATTGCCGTGACTATGACCC